GAATAGCTTGCTTAGTGTATTTATTTATGTTGGGTCGAGTCGTGCTCTGATCATGTAACACTGGGACCGTTTCGATTTATGTTTGAGAGATACATTATGTACTCTTCTATATGTCATTATGTTTATTTGAATTATGTGGAATATTGGCTTTTATGCCTAAGTATTGATTATGAATGAAATGAGTATGAGACTTTCATTATGTCAATTATGATTAAGTTAAATCTGCTACTACATGCAAAGTGAAACCTTGAAAAGCATGATTATTTATTAAAGTGTTAATGAGCATGACAAGTGGTTTTTGATGTTTTGAAAATTATGTGTGACACCCTTTTTGTGAGTGCATGATGATTTACTCTGATTATTTATATATATTCCACGGGGTTAAGAAGGGTGTTAGAGTATGCATCCTATGGATTCATCAAGTACTATCATATACATAATGAGAGGCCTTCCTAGCACTGGTGGCACCGAGATTGGTGGTTCTTGCAGATACCATTTGGCTCTATCAAATTCCCTTTGAAAATTTGCGTTCCACTTGACAACTTGATCTTTTCTTAACAACTTGAATATTGGTTCATAAGTGACAGTCAGATGCGAGATGCATCTGGCAATATAATTCAGTATGCCTAACAAACCACAAACTTCTTTTTTAGTACAAGGTGCTGACATGTTTTTAATAGCTTTGATCTTGTTGTGATCAACTTTTATAGCTTGTTGGCTCACAATGAACCCTAGAATTTTCCAGACCTGACGCCGAAAGTTCACTTAGTAGGATTTAGGCATAGTCTGTACTTTCTTTATCTGGAAAACAACCTTTTCATATGAATAATGTGCTCTTATTTAGTATGAGACTTGGGAATCATGTCATCCACGTAGACCTTAATCTCCTTATGCATCATGTTATAGACGAGAGTTACCATGGCTCTTTGATATGTTACCCTAGTGTTTTTCAAGTCGAGAGGCATCACCTTGTAGCAGAAAGTGCCCCATGGTGTAATGAAAGTTTTTTTTTCATATCTTTGGAAGACATTTTAATCTGATTGTATCTAGAGAATCCATCCATGAAGGAGAATGCATAGAGCTGAGTTATGTTATCTACCAATACATCAATTTTAGGTAAAGGAAAATCGTCTTTTGGACTAGCTCTATTCATATCTATATAATCCACGCACATACGCACCTTCCCATCCTTCTTCAGAACTGGTACAATATTGGAAATCTACTGCGGATACGTCACAACAGCCAGAAAACCTACATCAAATTTCTTCTTGACCTCTTCTCTGATCTTGATAGCTATTTCTTATAAATGTGTCACAAGCAAGTATACATGTATGTTTAAAAGTAGAAAGTGATAAAAAGTAAGAATATCGTATCAACTGAGAGTGAATGTTACTTAAGTTGTAAGAAACTATCTTTTGAACTTAAGCATGAGCAAGGATAAAAAATAATATTTGGATGTCATAGATTCAGTTTTTCTTCTTTAGACCAGATCTAAGCAGTGCAAAGTGAGAGGAGATGATATCCAGAGAGTGCATGTTAATCTAAGGTCCATTAATGTAATGAAGTAACTATGTGTTCATGATGTGTAGTGTTGTACCATAAAAGGTGATCAGGGTGATCTAGAGGTATATTTCTACAACATCAAAGCATGCATTACTAGGGTAAGAGAACAAATATCTAAGTCACACTTATAACCCTAAAACATGTCTTTTTGTATTCTGAAATCCCTTACAATTGTAGTTTTCTATCTCTAAATGAACTATTCAAGTGAATATCTCTACCCTACTCTTTTCAACTATTTTTATTATGAAATCCACTTGTTGTTGGATATCTCACAACAACAAGCTATTATCTTTTTCTAAGTCGATCACTCAAAGAATCAGATTTATAAGCAAGTTACACATATAATAAAACAAGACACTAGATAACACATCATTTAACATGAAAACAACATAACATTAACTTCCCATTGCTTAACATACAAAAGGAATGTTTGTTATTTTTGTTAGTTATGTTATTATTAAGTTATGTTATTGTTTTTGTTGAGATAAGAAAAATGTTTGTTATTTTTGTGGTTTTTATTAATTATGTTGTTGTTTTTGTTAAGTTACATTGTTGATTTTGTTGATACAATTAAAAAGTTTTTGTTAATGTTGATGTTTTAGTTTAGTTATACGTGTTGTTTTTTTTTTTAGATAAGTAAAAAAGTTATGTTATTGTCATGATTTTCGTTAGTTATGATGTTATTTTTTGTTGCTCTATGTTATTAATGTTGATTGATATATGTTGTTAAAGTTTAATTATGTTGTTAATATTTATTTATGTTATGTTTTTTTTCCGTATGTTGTTAATGTTTAGTTATGTTGTTATGTTTTTTGTTTTTTTATTGGTAATGTTGAGTTGAGTTATATATGTTGTTATTTTTTTGTTGATATAGGACAACAAAAACAATAACAACAACCAGAGACAGAGCTAGAAAGTTTAGGTTGCGGGGACAATATATATAATTTTAATTGTATTGTTTTGACTCATAAAAATCAATTGCACATCAATTCAATTATTTTTTATTATTATCTTAATTTTTTATATTATGATTAAATATACATGTGGTTCTCCTAAATATCTCAAATTTTATTTTTACTTCCTCAAAATAGTTACTTCAAAGAATTGTCCTTTTAAAATTTTTCATCCACACTTTTGATCTCTCCTGCAATTTAGCGACGGTTTTGACAATTTAGCAATTGAATTAGCGACGATTTTAGCTACGCTTTATTACTTAGTGACTGGATTAACAATAGTTTAGTGTTGGGGACCTAAAGTATGGATGACAAATTTTAAAGGGCCATTTGAACGAAATATTTTGAAGACTAAAAACGAAATATGAGATATTTAGAAGGACCAAAAACATATTTAACCCTTTATGTTATAAAATATTTTTAAAAAATAATTATATTTGTAAGAGAAGTAATTAAATATATTTTTAATTTTTTTATATTAATAATATGCACATTAGTTAATTCATATTCTATATATGATATATTATTTTGATATGTAAAGTATGTATTATTTTAAAAATTAAAAAAAATTAATATCATTACTTTAATATTTTAATTTCATAAAATAAGTGAAAATTATTATTATATTACGGGATCTCATGTTCAAAATTGAATAAAGGTAAATACTTACTATTCATTAATTTAACTAAATCCTAAAACGCTAATATAAAATTTTATTAATAGAATAAATATTATAGCTTATAATCGATAAATTATAAACAAATAAAAATAATTTATTAAAGTATTTATATACAGTGCTTTCAACCAGAATTCATAGTTAGATATTATCTTACCATAATATATAAACTATACATATAGATGATATGTGAATATTAGTATATATTAGCATAGGCATGAGTGGGATAATAGTGAGGGCACGTGCCCACAGGATGTCATGTGTAGCTTCGTCCCTGACAACAACACAACATTTTATTTATATAAAATGTTCTATTACTGTTGTTGATTTTGTTGTCCTGTATTATTGTTGATAATGTTATTCTTTGTATAATTTTTATTTCGTTCAACCAAACATGTTTAAAGCATATAATAGAATATACATTTATTGTATTGTATGTGAATCGAGTGTTCTACCATCCCTTTAGTGAATATATAATTTGTCAAATTGAATTAGGAAATAATAATATAAAACATGAAGTTACATTTTAAGAATAATTTACACTATTTAATATTTTTTGAGCTTTCTACAATCTATAATCTGTATCTTGCTCTTTTATTGTTAGAATTTAGTTTAATACTTCTAGTTCTTCAATCAACATTTCCTTTTCTACTAGTACATTATGCAAAACATTAAATTTGTGAAAAAATTTCGATTCATTATCATCCTGATGATAACTATGATGATGATAAGAATTTCTCAATAAATTTATATTTTGCAAAAATTAATAGAGGATGAAGCGTTAATTGAATAATTAGAAGGATTGAACCAAATTCCAAGTGTTAAAGAGGGAGATATGGATAATGAGTTGCAAAAAGTTCGAAAAAATATTGATTTGTGTAAGTTGATATTCAAATGTAATTTGATTTTTCATATTATTTTCTAAATCAAATTGAAAGGTTATATGTTTAATGAACGGTAGTAAAACAAGTATTTCACATAAGTTATAATAAACTCAAATATATATCTACAACATTACAACCGTGGTGAAATATTGTACTTAAATGTTTCACAACGATTAGAACTTACAACCGTGGTCAAATGTATTAATTATCCAAAATGATGGCGCTTAGGATCAAACCCATGACCATTCCACCATTTATTACGATTAGTTATTTCAACCGTAGTGATAGGTTGCACACTATTTTGTTTTTACTATGACTACCAGCTCGTTGTGGTAAAGAATAGGGATGGCAAATCGGCATGCCCATCCCATTTAGGTATGCCTTGTAAATGCCCGTAATGGAACGGTGGTGTTTTTTTGTTTTTAATATCACTATTTTGTTTTTGTTTTTTTAAATTTTGCCAATGACTTTCTTCATTACAAAATTGAGTGGTGGTCAATATTAATCATAAGTGGAGTACCGGGGTAATACTTTTGATGGTGGTATCTTAACTTTAAAGTAAAAACATAAATTTAAAATTTTATTTTATAAATTTAAAATTTTAATAAAAAAATTATTCTAAAATTAAAATAAACGTACATTATTGAATCAAAATATAATTGAAATTACAATTTTTTTTAAAAATAAATTTTAAAAGTGATTTTTTATAAAAATTTATATGAAATAGATTCAAAATTAAATAATTTTTTTAATAAAATATTTTAAATAATATTTTAAGAATAATTATTCAAACTAAATTTTTATTTAAAAAAAAAATTTAAGCAAAAACATATGACGATATAAGAGAAAATGGGAAAATGATATCGGAGAATGAGAATTTTATTCGCCGGTGAAGCTCAACCCATGTTCTGAGCTGCAGCTAAAATGTTCCTCCGTGTAAATGTACTACGAAACCAAACCCTATCTCTCTTTCTTACTTCTTTATCATCATCTACCTCCTTCAATTCACTTCAATCATAATCTCACATTTTACAGTTACAGGAAAATCCTCACTCAGACGACAGCATTTCCGGTAATTTCTACTAATTCACTCCAATTACAACTTAATACCTTCTTAATTACCTTAATTAATTTTCAGATGACGACGAGCTTCAAGCTAATCGCACCAACAATGTGCCTGCCCCTAACAAGGTTCACTTCACACCTAAGCTTATACTTACTTTATGTTATGATAATAAATCTCGTTTTATATGTAATCATGATTAGTTAATGTTATCTCTTGTTAATTGTAGCAAGAAGAACTACCTCTTCCGGCCCGGCTAGATTTGTTAAAAGGTGCCTCAATTAAACTAACTCATTCTTATCTTTGATGTTGTTAATTGAATACTGTTTTGTATTTTATAGTTAGGCTCTGTTTGGTAAGCCCAATTTCGAGCTTATAGCTTATAAGTTCATATGACAATTTAGACCTGTTTGGTAATTGTCTTTTTATCACGTAATAAAATAAATATGTATTAAATATCTTTTATGTCATTTTATAGTTGAACCGTTAATTTTACCAAACACTTCAATTAGCTTATCAGCTATGAGTCATCAACCATCCGCTATAAGCTACCGGTCATCAGTCTTCAGACATAAGCTATAAGCTATCTTATTAGTCAATTGCTATTTTTACCAAACAGAGTCTTAGTTATGTTTTTAATAATCGTCGCGGATCGTGGTCGCATAAAAGCTTTTGCAATTTCGGTGGGTACAGGTGTTGCGAATTAACGACAATTTGTTCTTTGTCATAAAAACTGTGAATAACGGTATTGGCATCGACACCTTCCGAAACCGTTTTGTCGCGGCTGTTGTTTTTTAAAATTGTTACTTATAATAACCTTCTATCAATTTCTGTTAATACTTCACAGGAAGATTCTGTAATCAGAATTTGGCTTCTTCATTTCAGGTATTATTATGACTTTGGCTTCTCATTACTCTTGCATTGCTTTCTTAATGATTTTTTAAGTTCTTAATTGTTACCTACAGCTACTATAATTTAATATTGTTATTTTTGTTGTTTATTTATTAAATATTATTAATTTATTTCTATGGTTGTTATCAGAATTTGCTTGAAGATGAGGAGGTTGAAATGCCTGATTTCAATGAGGGTGGCTTCCAGGATATCTTAGGTGAGGTGGTTGCTGATTCGGGAGATGAAGATATTGTTTCTGAAGATGAGGTACTCTCTGAATTTCACTTAGTTTATGATTTTCATTTCATCTTTTTTTGTTTGGGTTATTGCTAAATGGTTTCATCTTTTTTTGTTTGGAGTAAATAGTCAAATTAGTCTTTTGAAATATATAATGTTAGTTATGTTAGCATATGAATAATGGAAATATCATGCCCGATGTTTCTAAATGTTCATTTGTTTAGTTAAATTAGTCATCACGATTCAGTGACCACGGGTGTAATTTGCATTATTTTGGGACTAATATGACCAATGTTATATCTTTCAGAGGCTAAACTTGATTATTTACTCTATCTTTGTTTAATCATTTAAGGGTAGCACTGTCCTCTCGACCAGACTCCTCCATAAATATGGTCCTCAATATATCAAAAATGAAGAAGTTAAAGATACAAAGAGGAAATCAGAAGCATTGCTTTGTTTTAAAGAAAGTGCTTCATGTTCGGCATCCCATGCTACCTGCTCCAAGCCAAATTCATCTGGTATCTGCACAAAAGAAAATGCTAATTTCTGGGTTAGAGCATGAGTTACGTGCAATTCCCTATTGAAACTGAAAATATTTGTTAGTGGGGTTTCTTGTTGAACTTTGAAGTCTCTTATACTTCTTGAGTGTCCTGTGTCATCTAAATACTGGCTACAGATTTTTTAATATGTTCCCCTGCTGCATTTGAGGATATGTAGAATTATATATGCTCTAAAAAAGATTCAATTTATCCAGGATAGTAATCACAACTTCATCAATATTTCAATGTAAATATCTGAATATTATATCAAATTGGCAACTGTTGCAGGCATCTGGGGCAAAGCTAAGCCAAGATTTTCATTCTCATCAGTGACAACTAAATATGGGCACAATGGCCCTTCAATCTCTAATATTGATAGGCTGCCTGAAATTATGAAAGGTGTTAATCCTAGAGCTTCTGCAAGTTTAGACGGAAATCATCTTGAAGATGACGACATAGTGGAATTAGATTTAGACACCGAACCTTCTGAAACTGAAGCTCTTCCACATGAATTTAATCTTCCCGTAATGGCTGATCTTTTTGACAACCTCCAAAATAAGACTGATCTGGTAGGTGGAAATTTTATCAATGCTTCAGTTATTTTTTACACATGTTTACTTTTTCCCTGTATAAGATCCTTCCATCTCTATTTTCCAGTGTCCATATGAAAATCAAAGAAAAGGAAAATCAGTGCAGCTTTTTCAGAAGAGTAGACCCCTCTTGCCAGAGACAGTTATTGACAGTGAAGACTCGCCTGAACCTGTGGATAGCAGATCATCAAGTGACAATGAGGTAATACTGTTCAATGATATCTCATGTACTGGCTAGTCCATTGTCATATCTGGCTTTAAATCTGTTTGTCTGTAGGAAAGTGATCAACGCATGAAAACTACTTTCCCTGGAAAGAAAATGCAGACAATGGCAGATAGATTTCACCATGCTTTAGGGTCTTCGTCTGTTATTGCTGAAAAAGTTGGAGGACTCAATCCATTGAAGTATAAAATTGTAGTTTCCTGGTATTTTTAAACAATTGAACCATAGAATTCAAATTATTTCTGAACTCTGTTTGATTGATTGTCTTGCAAAATTGTGCAGAACTGGAATATTTGAAAAATTACAGCAGGTGATGCAGAGAGAAAAAGAAAGAGACATGGACTTCTCAAAAAAGTTACACGCCGGAGCTAGGCCAGATCGTAAAACTTTTTCTTTTACTCTGTCTGCCTTTTTCATTGTTCTCTAAGTAAAATATCGTTGATGACTTCTCTATTACATAGACAATCATTCATTAGCAGTTTTTTTTTTCTTTTTAATTTTTTGGGTTCATGTGTTGCATAAAGCAGATTTTACATTTGTTTTTAACACAAATGAACAGAGATGTTTGACTTAGAAAAAATATCAGGTGAAATTGGCTGTGTTGATGTAGGCATCATTTCAAGATACCTGGACGGAAAGTTGATTGTTTGCCATTGCTCATTTAGCAAGTGTACCGAGGTAAAGTTTTAAAAATAAACAGATTCAATTGCCATGCTTTTTATATGCTTATTATTAGCCTGAAAGTTTATACTTTATACTTAAGAAAATGCTTGGTTTACCTAGGATGCACAACCAATCTGACACCAACAATTCTTATATTTTAAAGGGTCTGGCTAATGAGTCCCTCATGGACCCTGAGTAAGCAATCAATAAATAGAAGTTTTTATTGAAAAGTACCACATTATCATAATAAAAACTTTACTTTCTAATTAAAAGTTTCTATTTTTGTTTCCTTAACTAATACTTTGATGTGTCAAAAAGTTCATATAAAAAAATCAAATAGCTAAATGACTATTTGAGTATCATAAATACCTTATTTTTAGTAGTTTGTATGCGGGGAAAGCACTTAATTAAAGGAAGTTTGGTTATTCGGCGTGATTGTCTGTTGAGAATGGAGACTCCTAACGGTCTTCTATTCTCTAGTGTTAGTTGTTATTCTATTCGATTTAGGGATTGAGATTTTTTTTAATAAATTTCACACTTTTTAATGGTATTCAATCAAGACTTGTACTAATGAGATGATAATTTTGCTTGAAATAGAACAATCACCTACGAGTAAGATATAGCCTTATTTAGTGTTGGATTAAAAATTGATGGAAGGTGATCTGTTGTTTTTGCAGAATTTTCCGCTACAAGCTAAGGGAACCGGGTTCGATGGCAGCAAAGATGGTCAAAGAACCATTATCTTTAGTCCAAGAGTGTGCGGCAATGTTGATCTTGAAGTGGGGAGCTTAATTCGTATTAACCAACCGTGGTAAGATTTTTACATTTGTATTCATATACAAATTTAATTGAGCCTAGTTTAACTGTACTATAACTTTGGTATTTTATATCTCCGTCTTGCTGTGAATTGTAAGTGTTTTTGTTTCTTGATCTATTTTGGTTTGGTCATTGAACAGGAAGGAAGTTCAAGTGGGAAATGATAATATTATCTTGTGTTCTTATTTCTCTGAAATCTCATCCCCGATTTGATTCATGTGGTGAGAGCAGACCATGAACTTGTAGTGTTCATTCTTTTTTCTTACAAACCTAGGAAAGCCATGCAAGCCTCCATTTGTAGTGAATAGTAAAGGGGGTTTGTGTTTACTGGCAAAAATAGAGGGATAAGGGTTACATTTCAATAGAATATAGTGGAATTAAATGTTGGGTCCTATAGTATTGATTTTAATTTTACACATTTAGAAGTAATAATAATCATGCAGCTGATTTTCTGCACTACATATGTAATTTCTCTCCACGCATCAGAAATGACAAATATTCAGTTTTTCTTTTCCTTCCAATCTAACCAAATTTAAAGGTCAATAGTATTCACTACTAGCAAGAGTTTGTCTTGATCAACCATCATGGATAGTTAAACATCTATTAATTCAGTTTTGTTCATGTAAGACAACGTGTTTTTTGTTTTCGTCCTTGAATTTTTGTTTTTTGTTTTCGTCCTTGAATCTTTGTTTTTTGTTCTAAGTTTTTATATATTCAATTTCTGTTGGATTCAGTCTCTGTTGTCAATGGAACGTTAAGAAAAAGCTGAGTTAGTAGGTGATGACCTGGATTATGTTTCAACATTTTTTTTTTTTTTTTGGAACACATCTGAAAATAGTGTTTGCAGTTGATTAAAGTGCGACCAAATAAAAAAATTACATTTTTCTTTTCTTTTCCTTTCCTTCGTCTTCGCCATTTGCTTTTTGTTGTTCCTCTCTGCACCTTCAACATCCATGGCTTCTTCTTCGTCTGTCAATTTTCATCACGTTCAAGCACCGATTTGTGGTTGCAATAGAAGCATGAAAATATTTATATCAAAATTTGTTGAAAATCCTAAAAAAAAGATTTTGGAAGTGTCAAAATTTAGGGTTAATGTTTGGTTGCAAGTTGCTCATTTGGGACGATGACCTTGAACGAAATTAAGTGGTTGCAACTGCTCGAAAATGTTTAAGGATTTAGGGTCCATTGTTAAAGAGATTGAGATTGGCAAAAAGGCAAAGATGAAGATTAAATTAGAGAAGGAAAAGAGAAAAGCGACTCTCTTGAAGCTAGTGTTGGTTGTGTCATGGGGGTTCTTCTTTGCTTATCACAAATGGTGGTGAATCCCATTTGTTTGTGTCTGTTTCTGTTTTTTGTTTTTAGTCTGTGTTACATTAATGTATTTTGAGATTGGTCTCTGTACCATATGATGAATGAAAAAGATGTTTTTGGTTTTGGACAGTATATGTATGCAATTATATTGCTCCTCCTGTTTTGAATTGTGCATAAACCAAACTTGATAATTTGAATAAAAGCCAAATTAGTAATAGGTCATTTCAATTGTGCATAAAACAACTTGATAAAGTGCATAAAACAAACTTGATAATGTATCCAAAATACATATTGTATCATAAACATAAAGGCTTAAGTTAAAATACATGCTTGTATCCAAAACACAAAGGTTCAAACTCTAAGGCTAAAGGCAAAGTAGTATTGCAATCAAAATATATAATAGAAAATAACAAGACTTAAGTACATCATTGTAGTAATGTTGTTCAAAAAAACATAAGTCAAAACAGTTCCAATGTCTTCAATTTCCATGGCACCCTTGTGCATGGTTACTTCCTTCTCCCTTGAGCAGGGTTACTTCCTTCTCCCTTGAGCTTTTTGCATCTGAGTACCCTTGCTCTATCACTTTTTCTCAACTCCAACTTTCTTGCGACCTTTTGTTTGGGTTGCTTTGCCTACAAAGACACAATGTCAATATCAATAAAGCTGAGAACATACACATTAAGTCAATTAGTCAGTAGCAGGCTCAATTTGTTTAGGAGGCGCAGAAACAAGTTCCTTAAGAGGAGGTGCGTGAACAGGTTCATTAGGTGTAGGCTCAACCACTTGGGCAGGTGCAGAGAGAATGTAGTTTGGTTGTGAGTCACCAACCCCTTGTGAAGCCATTACAGATGCAACCTCAACAGTTGGAGCACGGTCACTAGTAACTTGAGTTGGAGTTGAAATTTGGGAAGTGAGATCATTGACATTGGGTTAAGGTTGTGTCCTTTGGAAAGCTGCACAAAGATCTGCTGCAAGCATTTCAAACTCTTGGTCCACATCACATTGTGTTTCTGGCTGTTCTTCAATTAAAGCTTCATGTTGAGGTTGTTGTTGTTCAGTAGAAGCTTCATTTTCAGCAGGTGTTGTTTGTTCTGCTACAGATCCAGGTTGTGTTGTTTGTGTAGCATTTTTCTTTGGTTTTTTCTGCACACAGAGTGATTCAATCAATATCACTTACAAACACAATTAGTAAGAATATATCATTGAGTTAAGTTAATACCTTTCTTTTTTGAGCTTCACGGTCAGGCACCAGAACTAAACAACTCTTTGCATTGTGGCCATGTACACTACAGGTGGTACAACAATAAGATATTTGTGTCCTTACCTTGTTAGGGTCATCATCAGGTTCCCTTCTCTTTAATTTCTTTGGCCTACCAGGGCCTCTTTTGTATGATGGAGGGAACATTTCCTCAGTATTAACCTCATGCCACATGTCTTGGCCATTAATTAGGCTAACATTGAAATCATAGCATGCCACGTATGTTTCTTTAGAATAACAGTCATCTACATAGTCTTCAGGGTGTTGATTCCTAAAGCCTAAGGCAACAACTGCATGTCTACATGGTATGCCTACCAATTCCCAAAATTTAGAGGTACAAGTTCTTTTAGAAGTGTCAACTATGAAGCTATGTTTGCTATGGATATGTCCAATTACCAACATTTTCTACCTCTTTATCTAACCTAATTCTAGGTCTTGGCATTATCTTATGTTCCCACATATCAACTTTTTCTCTTAATTTAGAATTTTTATTCATAAGGTAGTTTCATATCCATTCACACATGGTTAAGATTGGTTTATCCCTAGTCACTAGTATTGTGCTATTAAAAGGTTCAGAGACATTATTCATTAGCACATCACATTTAGGATAGAATGATAAATCATGCTTACACCATGATTTTGTAGGTATTTTGATCAACCACTCTCAAGCCTTAGAATTAAACACCTTTAACTCTTTCATCTTTGCTTCACATGCTTGTATATATGTGGCATTTGCTACAGACATCATCAAATCTCTGATCTGTGTGCCACCATCAAACTTCTTTTTGAAATTGGCATATAAATGCCTAAGACAAAGTCTATGCTCCACTCTCTCAAACATCTCCTCAAATATAGGAACTAAGCCCTTCAAATGAAAACAAACAATAGAATAAGGGACCTATTTCAAGCAAACAAAAATAATACACAGATGAAATTCACAATTACATAACTTAGGGATGAATTTAAAAAACAAACAATAATATTCAGGGACCTACTTCAAAATAAATTGACATATTCAAGGACCAAATCAAAACACAATTAAATAACTTAGGGATGAATTTAAAAAATATATGGATCTGAAAAGTACCTTTTGCTGGTCTGATATGAATACCCATCTTTTGTCTTGTCCAATGTCTTCCAAAAGTAAGGTCAGAAACCACCTCCATGACTCCTTTGTCTCGGTCTCACATGCATCAAAAGCCAAGGGATAATATTGGTCATTAGGATCCCTTCCAACAGCAACAAGCAAGATTCCTCCATATTTTGTCTTGATGTGACATCCATCAACACCAATGAATGACCTACAAGCAATAGTGAATCCATTCTTTACTCCATCAAAGCAAAAATAAAAAGCAGCCAAATCTAGGTTGAATTGTTGGAGCAACTCTGGTGATATTAATTTTGCATGTGTTCCCTGCATTAACCCTCCTTAATTCAGCAGCTTACCTCCATAATAGTGTATATTGCTTTGTTGCATCACCTTCAACTAAAGCTTTTGCAATTTTCTTAGCATTTCATGCCCTGTTCATAGATATACCTACAGAGTAAGTACTCCTAATCTCAGAGACAATATCACGAAGCTTGATTCCATCAGATGAAGCCATCCTAACCGCCACAGTCTTCGCAATTCACTTGGAGTTAGCAGTGGTGTTATTCAAAACCCTACCACACGTGTGAGCACCAAACCATTTCTTTATTTTATATGTGTGGTTTGTCTACAATATCAAACTCGTCATCCATGCCAAGAGCCCTTTCATCCTCACCGTCCTCAAATGATAAACCATTATAATCACTATCATCATTATCATCTCCTTCAACACCATCAAGATTCTCATCAACCTTGGCAGATTCATCAACATTTAGATTGCCAACATCACCATCAACATTGACATTTCCAGCATTATCATGAACATCATCCTCAATAACATTATTACCTTTAATATCATCAACATCATCAACATTGAAATTTCCAGCATTATCATGAACATCATACTCAATAACATTATCAGCTTCAATACCATCAACATTATCAGCAATACCATTTCCAGCATTATCATGAACATCATCCTCAATAACATTATCAGCTTCAATCATCAACATTATCAACATTACCATTATCAACATTATCATTAACATTATCAGTACCATTAACGGCATTATCAACTACAATTACTCTATGCTCAACAAATAAATCCACACTACAACTAGTTTCAACAGCTTTTTCATAAACCCCAGCAGTATCAATGTCACTAACTAACCTTGCATGCTTACCCGATATAATGTTATACAACCACAGCCAATAATCATTGGACTCAAGGTTGCAAATTTATTTACAATACCAGTTGCTTTAAAAAAGCTCCACCTATCAGGGTCAATGTCTACTACATGTTTATCCCCACCTAAGTAGTACACGACACTATCCTTAACAAACTTTCTCCAGTAATGAATGTTCACCGTAAATGTCATACTTGAAAGATTCGATTAGGTCGCTCAATCACGATTATAGCTTTGGCACCCTCAGTCGCCTCGCCGAGACAAGCTCTTGTACCAGTCGACTTCACCTTCCCTGAGATGAAGCGCTTTTTAAATATGAAACCCTAATTTACAAGGAGTAAATAGAAAAGAGGAATGAGTTTTTATGACATATTTTGGAGGGGAAAACATTATATCCACTATGTTAAAGAAAAAATAAAACAAATGCTATACCATAAGTCAAGTTCTCATAGTCTGCCACATCGGCATTTTTTTAACGGTTCACTCGCAGCAGAGACTAACGCCAAAGAAAAATGAATATATGGAGACTTGAAACAAAACAAAAAAAGATTCAGCGACGTAAATAAAAAATTCACTAACCTACCGAAATGAAAATACTATTTAAACTTTTTTAATATCATGAAATAGAAAAATTGTTGGTTTTTATTTTTTATATTTAAAAATGTTTCTTTTTAGTCTTTAATCTACCGTTCGTGATTCTTTAAAAAAAAAAGACTATTAGTAATTCTAAGTTAACTTTGTTACGTGAGGTTAAAAATTCTAAATATAAAATTATGTATTGATAAAAACATTATTTCAAACTTTTACAACATTGAATACGCAACTATTAAAGCAAAAAATTTATATTAAGTTGTTTAACACTGTTCTTAGAACACGTTAATATTATTTTATTTTATTAATTAATTTATGAATTTTGTAAAACAGCTTTTAGTAACTGTTTGAAATGTTGCAACGGTTACAAAAAATCATGAATTAATTCCTAATATCCTTTTTAATTCAGATTTTTTAAACGTCTCATTTCATTGACCTTTTAAGATCATCAAATCTTGTATGCTTTAAAAGTTTTGTTAAAAATATCAGCCAATTACAATTTAGTCTTGCAATATTCAACGTTCAACTTTTCTTTATCAAATTGCTTTTTAAGGAAGTGGTACCTTCTTTTTAATGTGTTTTTCCTATAATGGCTTATAGAATGATTTTGTCAAATTAATTGTTGATTGATTGTCTATTAGCAGCTTAATTTGCACATAGTTGTTGACACTAAACCTTTCAAGCAACATCTCCAACCAAATTGTTTGACATGTAGCGTACGAGGTTGCAACATACTCTATCTTAGATGAAGACAACCACGATTTCTTACTTTTTTTAAGTCTAAGAGATTGGTGTTGATCCAAGCAAAACAAGTGACACACTTGTGTTCTTTCTATCATCTTGATCACCACTTCAATCTGAATTAAAATAGCTATAGATCTTAACTTTCATTCTTGTGTTTTATTAATGTGGCGTGAGTATTTCATGCTTTGATGTATCTGTAATGTACCATAGGGTCCATTTTGTTGTAAGTAGATGACATAGCATTGGTTTCTCAATAAATCTACTATCCAATTCCACATTATAACAAATATTAGGTCTTGTGTTGCATAGATACCTCAAAGAGCGAATGATTTGCTTGTACAATATATTATTCACCATTTCATTTCCTAAATCCTTCTTCAATTTTATGTATTTGATGTTGGTGTCCATAAGTGTAATTGCAAGATGTCTTATGCATATTTTTTCTGATACAAAAAAGCTATGTTTGATGTTCGCAATTTCCATTCCTCGGAAGTATGCCAAATTTTCGAAGTTTGACATTTAAAACTCATTCTTCATGCTTGCTTTGAACTTTTCCAATTTCTATTCATTAGAATATGTAACCAATAGACCGTTCACATAAATACATATGATGAGTTGGTCTTACCCACTTGAGAATTTCACATATACACAATGTTAATGTGCATTTATTAAAATCTAGCATGATTAAGAAGATATCAATCCTCTTGTTCCAAGCTTTAGGTGCTTACTTTAAACCATACAATGATTTCTTCAATTTGTACAACATATCTTCTTGCTATTTTACTTCAAAATCTAGTGGTTACTTAAACACACTTCTTCCTCTAAAGGACCATTGAAGAAGGCTTACTTCATATCAAGTTGGTGCATTTTCATATATATATATATATATATATATATATATATATATATATATATATATATATATATATATATATATATATATATATATAAATATATATATATATATATATATAAATATATATATATATATATATATATATATATATATATATATATATATATATATATATATATATATATATATATATATATATATATATATATATATATATATATATATATATATATATATATATATATTGTCACACCCTAATTTTTAACCTTAAGATTCCACCACATTTGAGTCATTTTTGCATAACATTCTAGGTCAATCAATCATGCATATCTAACCAATTTTCAAGATTTTGTTTTGTTTTATTTTTAAACTAGGGTTTGCCCTAAAAGGCTCAAAAGCTTGATCAATCAAATTTTTGGATGGATCAGCAATAGAGTAAGGTCTCATACGCTCAAGGGATCTCCATCCACCAATAATCAAAGTTTTGAGACTATGAAAATAGTAAAAAATTAATTTTAAAAAAAAAGGAATTTGGCGATTCGAGGGGCCAACTCCCATAACTCTTCTAGTGCACGATTTTTTTTTGCCACGAAACAGATCTAAGAAAGGAGGTGATTTGTCCCAAACCGGTTTTTTTCGGCTAGGTCTGACGAGAAGCGGGCGAAACGAGACGACCGTATGCGAAAACGCAAGAAAATACACAAAAATGCAGAAAATTAAAACAAACAAAACCTAAAACTAGACTATTGGCTAAATCGACAAGAATCCCCGACAACGACGCCAATTTGATCCGCTGTCGCGCGCGGATCAGAAACGGTTGTCGCTAAACTACCGTTTTTCAAACTACTCGCTTTTGATCCACGCGCGACAGCGGATCAATAGCATACTTAGGGTTTTCTTTGATCTTTACCCTTTCTTTTGGATAAATCAAAGTTCA